AGGCGGGTTACCGTCGACGTGAGGCCGCTGCTCCTGGTGCCCCCGAGCCACAGCGAGGCTGCAGGGAGCTGTAGGTGGCCCCATGGTGGCCCCAGTGTGGGAGGATGCTCCAGGGATGGGCGAAAGGGCTGAGCATCAGGCAGGGCGCGCGACCGCAGGCGGGGAAAGCTCTCCCTGTGGCCAGGCAGCCTGTTAATAAATATCACATGCTTTTTTATAAAGCATAGCTTTCCTTTGCTCCCGTCCCATCCCTTCCCACCTCCTCTTCCAGGAGCTGGAACATAAAAACCCAGGAAGCGATGCCAGCAGTAACCCAAAGAGGAGCTTGGTCCCGGGGACGGGCTAAGGAGCGGCCTGAGAGCCCAGGAAAAAAGAGATGAAATGGTCCCCATTTTCATTTTATTCTGGGTTTCCCATCCCGCAAGGAGCAAGCTGTGGTTGGGCTGGATCCATAAACCCTCAGGTGATGGCTGCAGGCAGCTGCCTGGGGAATATCACTTTAAATTAACGCGCCCAGCCCTCCTTATCAAACACCCCATCGGGAGCAGCACTGGCTGAGCCTCGCCGAGAGGCCCCAGATTTCGCCGCCGCGCTGCTCCCAGGGCTGCCGTGCCATCGCAGTCCACCACTGCGTTTCCAGACGGTGATGCACCAGGGCCGCAGCCAACAGGAGGGACCCCAGCCCCCCGCAGGGACAGGGGACCCCCAAGCCCCGGCGTAGGGACAAGCATCAGGGTTGTGGGGAACAAAGCCCTAATTTACACCTTGCCCTTATCCCCATGTGCCGTCTATCATTTGCACGGGATAAATTCATGCCCATCCCCTGCCCAGGCCCTGCCACCACCCCCGGGCATCCCGGCACGGCACATGGATCCCCTTCATCAGCGGGACAGTCCTGCGTGCCACCGGCTCTGCTTTCCCCACCTCCATCACTCTGCCAGCGCCGGGAGCGCGGTGTTTGTTTCTCCTGGCACTCAGCACTAATGCACCAGCAAACCCCAGCCCTTGCCATGCAAATCCTGCAGCTTTACGGATACACAGACGAGGCTTTCCTTAAAAAAAAAAAAAAAAAAAAAGGGCTCCTTTATATGGCTGAAAGAGCACAACTGTGATAATGTAGCGAGCGCTGGCCTTGGGTATTTTATCTTGGCAAGGAGCCTTTGCAAATTTAAACAGCAGCAAACAGGCTTTGCAGTTGTGGCTGGAAGCGGCATAAGTGGCGCATTGTTTTGCAAGCAAAACCCTTGCGTGCCAAAGGGCCGCGTGTAAGCTTTGGCCGGCACGCGGGGGGCGAGCACGTAGGGTCTGGCCGAATCAGCCCGGGATTCATTTCACTTAGTGGGGTGTGAAATTGCGGAGGAATTCGAGCCCGGCAGCTCGATTCGGAGAGGGGGACCCCAGGGAACCCCCCTGGGCTCTCCCCGCTGCATTGCCTTCCCCTCCGTGCAAGGGCTCGCGGCATCTTTGCAGAAGGAGCGGCGGGGATGCAGCTGTGCCTCTGCTATCTCTGTGTATACACGGTAATATTATTAATGCATATGTGCTGTAGCAGCATCGCGGAGCGCTGGGTGCTCACCCTGGCTGCTGTGCGCATGCAAAGCATCGAGTGTGAACTGAGAGATGACCCGTGCACGCTGCAGAGACCCCAAGCAGATGCAGGCTGCTCCCCATTTCTTGCAGAAATTCTCCTTTTCTGCTCAGATCGCTGCTGGGCAGGGATGGCGAGGCTATGCGGCGCGGGGTGGACCCCGAATGGGCCTGGGGAGCTGTAAGAATTACGCCCAGGAGAAGACTAATAAGCTGAATTTCACGCTTCCTTGCAGCCAGGTCGCCCCTTCCCCAGCTCGCAGCGGTATCATGCCTTTGCCCCCTGCGGCAGACAGTGAAGAGGCGTTTCTAGTGAGGGAGGAGAAAGAAACCCTTTCTGTTTTCAATAGACGTTTTAAAAGGGGCTTTTTTACAACAGGGGTTTACTCTTCTTTTTAATATAACCTGTGTCTGGGGCTAAAATCCTGGTGGTACCTTTTAAAAGGCCGCGCTTGACTTGTGCTTCATGTCTAATGCCCTGAGGTCCTGTATAGTAAAATCAGCTGGTAAATTTGGGACTCGGTTTTTATGCTTTCGGCTACTTAACAGTGTCTAAAATTGCGAGGGCAATTTGCGGGTGGTGTTAAAGTTAAGGCAGAGGCAGCAGAAGCTCAAGTCCTTTCTCCGGGGGTTTCAGAGCAATGGTTTGGTGGAGGGGCAGCGAGGTCGAAGGGATGCGCTGGAGGGGGGGAATCGGCATGGAGCAAAAGCCTCTTGCCGCACAGCCCGACCACATCATCCCTCCGCCGCGGGACCTGGGACACGGGGACATGGGGACACAGGGAAACGGGGACACGGCGACAGAGGCGTCCTTCCCAGGACGCCTCTCCCAGCCTGGCCTGACAGCCCTTCCCGCTAATCCGTAGGTGGAGCTCTTCTGTCATCTTTTTCTGCTTATGTTGCTAAGTAGTACCCAGAAATAGCTTCCCCGGGAGGAGAAAAGTGCCTCCCTCAGCAGCTTTTGCCAAAGGTGAAATGCTCCGAGCATCCTTTGAAGAGCCAAAGCCGGAGGGCTTCGCCCCAGGGCCGCGCGAGGCGGGCGCGCTGCCCCTTCCTCTGTCCCCCTCCCTACCGCAGCGCCATGAAAAGGGGCCAAAATATCTCCCCTCCCTCCGCTGGCCCCCTCGCCGGCTGACGGCCGCTCGTTCTCTCTTTCTCCTCT